AGAGCAGCAATGGCAACAGTGATGCTAATGGAAAGACAGTCTCGAGAATGAAGCGAGGAATTATGACAATAGCCAGTAGAATACCGTAATTAATAATATTAATATGTAACAGTAAGGCTACTTTTAGTAGACAAGTGCATTCAAAGGGGCATATTGGTGACCGTGCAAGCGTTAAGAAACAACAACGGCATTGACGACTATGCTGACAATACTCACCATCATAATAGCGACAATAGTAACAGCAGTAGCTGCAATAAAATAACAAGAGCATACATTCGCCGGTGGATTGTCTGCCTTCCTAGGTCCTGTCGCCTTCGCTCCCTGAAAAAAATGGTTTAATGCTTACAGTACGCAAACCGAAGTGTTGCATGCCTACAACCTGCCTGACGGCAAACGTGGTTGCAACCTGTGCTACTTCTTGCTTGAAAATCAGCAAAGACCTCAGCTCAGTGTCAGCACAAGCCCAAAAACAGCATGGGAAGCAACAACAAGACGAGACTCGTAAAAATGTCATAGCCGTACTTTCGTAGTACTGAAACAACCCCCATACTGGCATACCGGCATAGTCATACTAGAAATCGTCAGCATAAATAGCAAATACGGTAGCGACAATCATGGCAACAACAAACGGTGCAAGTAAGCCAACAAGCTCGGAAGCCACGGAACCCAGAAGCCTGAAAGAGCACAATGCCAGCTCCCACGATCCCCCCTGCTACAAAAACAAGACGAAACAAAACACACACACACACACACACACACACACACACACACACATGACCCTCCTTTTAATATTGATGAAGCTATCACGGGACGGTCATGTGGATCAAGACGGGACGGGCGTCTCGAATTCATCGCTTGGTCACCTGAGGGTATTTGGAGGACGTCATCTTCAACTTGTTCATCAAAAGCATTCCCAGTGCTCTGCCCCCGACGCCGTCTTGATCTTTGAGCACTGCGGCAAGAAGTCTGCACACGGCTTCCAAGATCAGGTGGCGACGCCCCAACAACAAGGTGCAACTTCCAAAGCCTCGAAACTTCGCATGTTCTTCCATTGATCGTCACCTCGCCCAGTTCCGAAAACTGAACTTGGAAACCGTGCGCGTGGCACTACATAGTGACATAGTGCAGCCGCCAGGCCTCCTCGCATTCCTCTTGTCTAGCTTGTGTGAGAGGTCCCTGCGTGAGTCACGAAATGACTCATACTATACACCGTGCGCTTGAGACCCCTGCCCTCACCTGGGGAGTCAACGGCATTGGCAGCTGCAAATGGAGCCTGGTGTGGCAGTCTTGGCAGACTCTTGCTTGCACTGCTCTCAGATCTACAGTAATGACTGTAATGTAGTGCTCCAGTTTCCGATGACACCACCGTGCTCCCGGCGCCATATCCAGAAAGGCAGCCCCACGGCATGGGACCGACTTAATGAAGCCTTGCACCTGTCATGGAAGAAATGGTTCGAAAAACGGTGTTTTTGGGGTTCTTTCAACGGCAGAAGATGATGGTACAAGCGTAACCCAGTCAAGGCGTCGATGTTGGATGGCACGAGTCGTGGAACATGTGGATCGACGTGGAGGAGGTTGCACACCTCGGGTAGAGGCATGGCAACCACATTATGCAGCCTATCTCTGGATGAAACTTAATGAAATACGATGCTCAGCTTGGTGCGCGAATGCCCCCATCAGGGCATGCCTGCACGTCCACCTGAGCCAGAAACTGTTCGAGCTTGCATCTCGCGCAGCACAGAGCAGCTGGCCATTGAAAGCAGCGTCGCCGCATTCTTGAAGGTTTGCCCCTGCTTCAGCTTCTGGACCTTTGCACCAAGTGTTGCCCTACCCAGCTTCCGGTTCATGTCGGCACAAGTAAGTCATGTGCCAAGTATCCAAGATTCATCAAGATTCTCAAGTATACAAAGTGTACCTTTTCATCCTGCGGCTTTGCGTCCGATGCTCAATGATGCCCATGAGTGAACCACAGTGAGACACAGTGTGACACATCATGGGCACGCAGAGCTTGTTCTGAGCTGGAGTTCCTGTGCACCTCACGAGGTCTTTGCCTCAGACCTTCAGAAGCCTGCCGGCTTGGGCACCCCGCAGCCCGAGCAAACCTCATGCACAGTCGAGCTTTTGACACGATGAGGCGTAGCTGGGGTTCGCATCATGCAGCGTGGAAGGCGCCTCATCTGTTATGCTGTTCTTTGCTTTGCATTCCTGAGCACGAGAATATCGAGAACTCGCACTCAATGGCCCAAGTCCAAGCGGGCGTAGCTTTTCAGAACGCGCCCCTCAAAGGCTTGCCCTTGCAGGCTCAACTCTGACAAGGGGCTCTTCTTCGGCACAGCCAGTCACCTTCCACAAAGCCAGGTCGTATCTTGTTGCAGCTGTGCTTGTTGCATTTGACACCTCACGATGATTCAGCCACAGCCATCAAAGTAACCCGGGAGATGTGTGCACAGACTCCGTATCAACTCAGCACAACACGGCTCTCAAAATTATAGTTGCCACACTCGCAATACCAGTCACCTTACAAGCTGGGCAAGAAGACCTCAACAAGTCCAACTGGTAGTGGGCACAAGAAATCAAGCCCTTCAGCAATCTGCACGGAGCGGGCAATACTCAATTCAGAGCCCTGCCCTCACGTCGATTAAAGTTCGACCTCATCAACGACTCTGGCACAGCGTGAGAGCGCTCAGACCGCACGCAACCGTACTCAGCGCAGCGTGATGTAGCGTCAATCAAGCCGCGTAGTGATGCCTCCTTTGCCCGCCATGCCTTCAGACAGGGCGTTTGATCCCAAATGTCGGCAATACAGCTAAAACATGTCTGAAATTCGGTGTGCTGTCGTGAGCAGTCTGGGGCTTTTGCTGGCGAGAATGTCCACTGCCTGCACAAGGGCGGCGATCGGATCGCTCTCGGACCTGCAGCAATGTGCTGCCATGCTGTTCATGAATGTTCATACTGCTCTACAGTCTATGACTCTCACAAGAGATCTGAGATCCACTCGCTCCATTCCAGCCGCCCCAGCCACCACCTTGCTGACCACCTTGGCCAACAGCGCCACTGCCATCGCCGCCCTTGCCATACCTCTCCAGGATCAGGAACTGCAGCTATTCTGCTGAGGGTGCAGCACACATGAACTTATGGCAGCTGAGCTTCGGAGATGGGCGGATCCTCCTTAAATACACCCCGAATATGGTGGCCAAACCAAGCCACAGCAATTGCCACATGCCACGCCGGAAATTCATCTAGCTCATGTACTGCATGTCTGAGCAAAGCACGGACCTTTGGCTGCGGAGAACGCCTCCATCTTTCCCGTGAGATTCGAAGTGGCTTTGTCGGAATTGCATCTCTGGCACCTTGGTCGGCCAGTGGCGTGCTTGGGTGTCGGAGCCTGAGGAAGAACAGCTAGCAGGCAAGTTCATGTGTATAGAGTATGTGACAGTACATGAAACCGTATAAGTTAAAGTACATTCCATGTCGGGCCACTTTGCATGTGGGCGTGACAGGTGGCGGTTGCCCAAAAAAACGGAAGCCTAGACATGCCTGTCAAGTGAGGGTCCTCCACTCGGAAGGGCGGCTCTTCAATTTGTGGTGGGCCCGGCCAGGCCCTGCTCTGACCCGGGATGTGTTCTGCTCATGAACCCGGCAAAACGGTTTTGGATGGCATCGGGGTGATGGACTGCTTAAGGCGGGGGAGGAAGGCTAGCAGTTGGCTAGGACAGCGATTGTCTGCAGGGAGGTGGCTCAGGTGACAACATGTTCTCGGAAGAATATGCTGAACCGGCCAAGTCGTCACTTCGCTCAAAACCTGCTCACCCCATGCAGTCAAGCTGCGTCTCCAGAGAAGAGTCATTTTCCTGGATTTCCACCCACATTACAAGCCGTACACGCTCCAGCCAAGCTGCTTCTGCACAGTGCTGCCAAGCAGCCGTGCGGCAGTTGCTGCACATCCAGTCCCCTGGCTTCTTTCCTTCTCTGAGCTTGCCGCAGCTATTGCAATAAATCCGGCTCCTTAATAGTCGGCATTTGTCAGAAAAAGCAGGATACGCACCAAGGGAAGCAACACTGCCACCACGATTCGCGAAGTTGTGGTTTCCGCACTCGCACATCCTAAGCTTACAGAAAGCATCAAGTCAACACAGCTCCCTGTCCAATGACTGCCATACTCTGCTTGATTCTTGCTAAGCTTCCAGTCACCTGCTCGCATGACATTTGAAGCAGCAGGGGTGGGTAAGCTGCTTGATCCCCCTTCTACAACCGGCTTTCCAAGATCCATCTCCGTGTGCGCGAAGGCGCAGGCCTGCTCCCAACAAAGCCCAAAACCAAAAGACTAAAAGACTAAAAGACTCGTTTCAAGGAGTTGAGAAGAGCTGAAAGGAGCCCAAGAGGTTCTGAGTGGGCTCATGGGCTCATGGATTCCAACCTCTCCCTTGCTGCAGGTGCCATAGGGAAAGAATCTACCTCAGTCTACGGATAACTTATATGATAACTTATATGACTATATGAATATACGACCCCACATGTCACATAAATTTGCTGTTCCGGACAGAAGAATTCCGAGTCTCGAACACATTTGGGTCTTGACTTTCTGGCCTGTTGGATACATCCTGAGGGGGTGCCAGTGGACTCTGCGAGAACATCAAACCCGCAAACGCTACCACAACACTACCACAACCTTGCCAAGGGGCGTGGCTGCCAGTGCCAGTGGATCTTGCGCAGACACCGGGGCTGGAACAGCCAAAGGCAGGGCTCCAGGCAAGGTTGCCAAAGCGGCAGGATTCAATGCACTTGCGGCATCAGTCACGCCCGGAGTAGCTGTCAACGGAAAGCCGCCCTGAAGCGCTTGAAGCGCCTGCGTTGCAACAAATCTGAGCTGGGGAGGCCACGGTTTACTGGGAGGAATGCTGTAAGAGCGCAGCACTGATCAAAATAGGACTCGAGACCCACTGAGCATCAATAAGCCATGACCGTTCTGGCAAAATATCTGCAAAAAGGCGCTGGTTGTGAGGCAAGGCCAGCATCTGGCCTGCAGCTGTTGCAGCTGCAAGGCCTGCAGGAAGAACTCTGGCGAAGCCGCCATTGCTGCGTGGCGGCTTGGTGCCCCTGGCAAAACCAGACGCGCACGAGGCAAGCTCGAGGATATCGGGCTCAAACTCACAAATGCTCAAGGGCAATTTACTACAGTTGTACTGATTATTGTTCAGAGTTCCATGCCAATGCTAAATTGGCATTCAATAGCTATTGGTGTGGTCAAGAAGGTTTAGGATCTCTCTTGCGCGTGAGGCTGTTCCGCTCAGAACCCCTCTCCTTCCCAGCGCTCTACGCATACGCTCTTGCAGTGAGGGGCAGCTCTCCAACACACAATATCTTGTTATTCTTCTTCTTCTGCTTATTCTTTTGCTCTTTCGTCTTCTTATTTTTTGTTATTATTCTTTTTTTCATTATTCTTCTTCTTCTTCTTCTTCTTCTTCTTCTTCTTCTTCTTCTTCTTCTTCTTCTTCTTCTTCTTCTTCTTCTTCTTCTTCTCCACGCTTTCTCTCTCTCTCTCTCTCTCTCGCTCTCGCTCTCGCTCTTCCACTGCAAGTAGCCCCTAAGGGGCCGCCCCAAGGGGCGTGCTCTAGCGATCCCGTCTGTGTGTGTGTGAATGTGCCTTGCTGCGGGTGGGCAAAACACGAAACACTCCCTCCTAATTGAAGGTACATTGTGCTTGCGAAGCGTGGGGCGTTGCCCTGGCACGATGTGATATGTGTTCCTTCCTTCCCTTCCCTGCACTTAAGAGCCCCCCCCGAAGGAGGAACCCGGCCGCGACGGCCAAGTGGGTCTGTGTTCCTCTCTCTCTCTCTCGCTTCTTCCTTCCTCTCTCTCTCATTGCCACTTGCCAGCAAGGTGCGAGCCCTGTGCCACTCACGGACTCACCCGCAGGTTTGGACCGACTGCAGTCTTGAGCCCCATTTGTGCTCTCAGGCAGAACCGCACGATCAGCGTCACATCAGCTGCCCGTACCCCCCCTGCTTTCTGGTTCCGTGTGAGCATTTCCAGCTTCGGATGGCTCGGATGGCTCGTTCACTTCGAGGTTCCAGCTTGGTCAGCGTGGGCAGCCGCGAGCTCAGCTGGAGCTGGAACCTGCGTCGGGCATCTCTTCACATTGCTTGAACTTCAGAGCATGCCAAGGCGGTCAAACTAGCAACTTAGAGCTGAACTGACCCTGGGGGGAGGGTTCTTTTTCCTGCTTGTCATTCAATAAAGCATAGTTGGCAAACGACTCTCGGCCGCGCCGGGCTTACCAGCTTTGCTTTATTGACTTGTTCTGCAGCTCAGTTCCCGCGCTGCTCCTTTGGAGGCGCGGGAAACTAGCCTACCACTGCCTTCCTCTACAAAGCCCTTGAAAAGCACAGGGCCAGACTGCAGTATACTGCAGTCACGGAAGATCCACATCTTCCGGGACCGGTTTTGCAGAATCCACTATGAACGGAACTACGGGTTTGGCTAATTTCGGCACATCGGTCTACACCAACCCTCAGAGCCAGACTCTGTCTTTCGCTTGCACCGCCTGCCAAAGGAAAGAACTGGCCGGAATGACCCTAGTGACCTGTCGCCCTAGCGTTGTTCACCCATGCTTGTACCTTTGGCTTCCTGAGATTCATCTAACATGAACCCATCATGAGGAATGTATTCGGTCATCGGTCTGCATGCCCGCTTGCAGACCCCAAAACCCTCAACCCTAAAAGCCTAAACCCTTTTGTTTTGCATCCGAGCTACGATGTCCTGGCCGGAAAGTAAACCCTAAACCCTAAACCCTACAGCTGCGAATGACAACAGCTCAGGGCCCTTGAATGCAAGCATTGTGTGGGCCCATTTTCTCTTCTGGCATCTGATTGGAGAAAGACTGAAAGATTGGGGTATTAGGGGTGATTTTCACCGCCTTCCGCTGTTAAATGCTCATTCTCACTGGATGGCCGTTGGCCAACTCTGCAACTGCAGCTCGCGTTTGCTCCACTGCCCGTGTAAGGTCTGATAGCTGGTTTCGAATTTTACCGGTCTGAAGCCTGAGGCCACAGACGTCAACAGATCTGGCAGATCCGCGCATACGAATGCAGCTGTCGATGAATTCATCGGCGCTGATGAAATTGTTGCCGTCTAAGTCCAGCATCTGAAATAATGTCCAGGCATCAGCGGCACCAAGCTCCAAAGCCTCAAAAAGGGCTCGGACAGATTCGTCATCAAACTTGGTCTCAAACTCAGTCAATGTGATGATGCCGTTTCCATCGTCATCGAAGGACCTGAAGAGGTGCAGAAGCCGTTCCCGAAAGGTTTCCTTCTCCTGAAGCAGTGACTGCACCAAGAGATCTTGGTCTTTCTCGGCTCCTGTAATGGCGGAGTGGCAGAACACCCCGACCTAGGATGATCATTTTTAACTAGCCTGAATTAATGGCAGCATTGAACCTTCGCATTGTTCAATGATGCCAACTGAAATGTACAGAGCAACTCAGGCATTGGCCATTACATTCAAAACCTTGGATTCAGAATGGCCCCAAGAATGACAACTGTTTCGTGTTTGCCTGACCAAATGCACATCGACTGATTGCAGGCCAAGGAGCTGCAAAGCAGCAAAAAGCGACGTAGAAAGTGAACATGAAGGACCACTCCCAGCCAACCTCATACAAGGTATTCGCAGGACCTTCCCAAGTAACACCGCCAGATATGGATCTGAAGAGGGTGTTCATGGACCGGATTGGTGATCCGAAATAAACCATGATGGGAGCCATGCCGTCCGAACTCCTCGGCATCAAATGTTGGACTAAGAACTGCTACAATCCCCTTGGCAAGTGGCGTGCTCAGCTAGCTCAGCAACATACCTCATCACCTCCCCAACGAATCCCTGGGCCACTCCCGTCTTCTGCAGCTGTGGACACCAGGGAAGTCCCCCACACGAACCCACACGAACCCAACTCAGCAGGGAGGGCATGGCCCCTCCTCGAGGATGACACGCACCGCAGGAATCGCGGCTCGATGAAGTTGTTGGGTTGATTGGGTAGGCTTTGATTATCCTGGGGCTGGGGATTTCATGCGAACGGCATGAATGACAAGAGGCCGCAGACTAGTGTGGCGGAGCAACCCGCGCATGTGGCAGATCAGCGGAGGAACGTACTATGACAAGTCAGGACAATGGCAGATAGGGTTCGGTCAACAGGGCGGGCAGCACCCCTACCACAGGCCATGACATGAAAGGCAACAAAACGCAACCTGCCAAGGAACGCCGCTTCAGATAGCAACGGGAAGATGATGCATGCTGGAACGCAAGGATGACACGCACACGGGAATCGTCTGAGAAGGGACGAACGTTTTGGGTTGAATAGGGGTTGAGTGGACTGGGCATTCGCGCTTCATCCTACAGCAACTTAGATGACAGTTCGCCAGGCCCTTTCGTCAGGCTCCCCCAAGCGACTACTCATAACCAACAGCAGCAAGAGCCTCCCAGTGCCTTTCAGGGATACTTCGGGGTATCGGCAGCCAAGCCGCTCTGCCAAGCCGCTTTCCAACGCATGGTCGATTGCGGCGTCGCTGAAAAGTATGCTAAAGGCATAGATAATCACCAGAAGCAGCACCAATGACCAGACCAGAGATCTGAGTGTGTATAGGATGGAAAACACCAGCACCCGCAAGGCTCGAATGAAGCGTAGAACTTTGACCATGCGTATTGCACGTGCCAGACGCGCAATCTTCATGATTCGTAAAAGGCGAAACCCGCTGCTTGAAGACGAGGGCTTTGCCTCCATACCAGCAACAACGGCTGCAAGATCGAGGACTGCCGTGGCTGAAACGACAATGTCCAACAAATGCCAAGCCCAGTCTTTGGCGCAAAAGAAGCCAGTTGGACCCCACGCGGCCAGTCTTAGCAAGATTTCCAAGATGAAGAGGATGGCATAGGCCATTTGCATGGTCAAGAATGCGGCAGGCAAGTCGTTGTCCAGATGCATTGAAGTCCACTGCGTCTGAACGCCCAGAAAGATCGCATTGCTTACAAGAACACTGGCAAAGAAAGCCTCGAACTTCCATGACTTTACGAATCTCGCGAAACAGGATGTCGTTGAAGTTTCATCGACATCTTCTGACACTGGCGCGCTGGCCACTGATTCCATTGCAGGCTCAAATGCACTTATCTGGTCTTGCTGCAGAGAAAGCCGCTCTTTGGCTTCCTCGTAAGACTTGGTGCGCTCCACCTCGCCAAAACTATGATCAGAGAAAATGCCAAGTTGGCTGTCCTCTGCCGGTGTGGCGTCCTTTGGGAGCTCTGGCCTCAACCCGCTGCTATGCATGGCGCCAATCACAAATGCAAGTTGAATTGCTTCCAGCGCCTACTCATTTGAACAGGTGCTGCAAGGGCCCGTGCTATCACTGCAGTACTGAGGCAGAATTACATTTCTGCCAGCAGGCTCTGACACCAGTTCCAGAAGATCCATATGTCCGGTCCCATCGGCGGATCTCATCAGATGAGCAAACAACCTCAGCTGCCAAACTCCGTTTCAATGCAGCCCCACCGTCAATCAAGAGCATGCGGTATTGCTTTGCTTGCGTCCGGCTGTTCCTTCTGAGAAGCTCCTCGAAACGACCCATCAGCTCTTTATGCTTCTGTTCGAGTAAGGCTTCCAGGTTGGCTTCCAGACTGCCATATTGGACCTCCAGAACACGCGACTGCTGCACTGCTTTGGCTTTGCCCAGCGAAGTCTCATAAGCTTCCCGTCTGAGGGGCCGACATCTGTCACCATGAAGCACCGGTCACAACCGGTATGATTCAACGGATGCTGAGCAGTGCACAGCTACAGCTTCTACGCTTGGACCGCAGAAGATGAAGGTGCGACATGCAAAGCGTGCTTGCCGCGCGCAAATGCAGCAACATGGGCGGTGAACTATCTGACTTTTGCAATTTCTGAAGCTTACAGAACAGCTACAGATAGCTACTGTTTATACCACGCGAGTCTACCAGTCCGTCTCTGAATGAGGCCTCAGGTTCTGGTTCTGCCTCATGGGTCCTGGTCCGCTCGGTGAGAATGTCACTGGCAGGGTACCTTTCATTTCATGCTGCAAGTAAGGCTCTGGTATGTTCGGTTTGACTTCTTGCTTACTGCAGCTGCGACTGAACCATTCCGAAACAATGCGACGTTCGCATCCGTTCACCCAGGCTCACCAGGGTTGCTTGGGCAAGTCGTGCAAGGGGTACACGGGCCTAGGCTTGCTGCCGAGCAACAATACCCCCCCCCATCTGGCAAGACATGCTTTACATCGCTTGACAGCATGCCCCTCCCCCCCCCCCCCACGGAATATGTAGAGCCAACTTCGCACTGAGCGACTGCAGCAGCAAACCCTTCTGCGGCTCCGGATAGAACCTCCTTCAAGCTCTGAAGTTGTGACAGCTTCTACACCGCTGACATGAGGCTGCAAATCGCGTCATTTGCAACTCTGAACGTAACAAGCGTGCAGCATGGCACACAGTGGTCCTAGCGGCCGAAGGCGACAAACCCTCTGCGTAGTGGTGTGCCTGCCGCACCGAAGCACAAAGCAACGCGACTTTGGTGTAATTCGACCTCGCCGGCTCACCGCCGAGCACAGAAAGAGTCTTCCAAGAGTCCAAGCGCATTTCCGCCCAGTCCCGCGCATCGGCGTGCTTGCCAGTAAAGGTGTCGGTAGTGTCTGTCTAGCGAATCTAGCGAGGCCTCTCCGCACATCCTGCGCATGCTGCCGTGAGACCGGAAGTTGTTTCCGACCAAAGCAGCGCAGCAGATTTTGAACGGAAGTCCACAAAAAGAAGCATGAGTCTCGATGGGTGGATCTTCGATCCTTCCCGGAGTCTGGGTTTGCGCATCTATTTCACTTGAGCCGCTTGGCAACTCTGCCAAGCTCTCAATGCGATCGCCACCTCTTCTGGCCGCTCAGACGCAGATCCTGAGTTTCAATTGGGAATAAACACGTCAGGATCCAAACGTGAGAATCCTTGCATGGGAGGCACTGCTGAGCAGCCACCAACTTGGCATAGTGGCCATCTAATTCCATCAACTGTTCCTCAAGTGCCACACACTTCTAGTGATTCGGAGAAGCTCAGCACAAGTCCTATTTCTAAGCTCTTGAACCGCAGCGAAGCTGCATGTTTGCCTGTTTCCACAATCTGGCCATAGTCAAAGACACAGATTTGGTCAGCACTTCGGACGGTGGACAACCTGACGGCGGCTTCCTACGAGGAACGCAATCAATGGTCAAGACGAGAACACACTCAGGCGGGCCTGTGCGCAATGATAATCGTTGTACGAGGCTTCGACCTAACAAGCCTCGGGTCTCAAACTTGAGAAAATGCATCTGCCGAAGTGCTTCGGATTGCTTGTGCACTTGTGTGCACTTGTGTGCGCTTGTGCACCATGGGATTAGAAAGATGTCTGATGATGTCTGCCCAGGAGCCGGTCCAAAGCATCCTGCACCAGGCGCTCGCTGACTGCATCCAACGAACTCGTGGCTTCGTCGAGGAGCAGAACCTGGGCATGCAGGGCAGGACAGCCGCGCTTGTCCACACCCTACAGCTTACCGTAGTCTACCCTGCATGCTGTTGAAAGTTGAATGTGTCCTACACCACAAACTTGCCACAAACCTCCGCCTCTTCCTGTGTGAGAGAAACCTGGAGTCCCTATAAGTCCTGTCAAGAAGCGGCAGGGTCACGCAGCAGCGCGCGAGCGATTGCGATGCGTTGCTTCCTGAGAGAACGTAAGGGCATGCTGGCATCGCGAAAACTTTGCACCGGGTCGTCCAAGAAGCGACGTCAAGTGAAGCCTGGGCTCTGTCCACCGCTCAAGTGTGCTCCGCGGTGGCCTGCCTGTGTACTGAAGCCCTGCCAGGTCGGGGGACATTAGGGCATTATTCTGGGCCGAGGTCGTTCAAGTTACTTCGGGTATTGCAGACACCGATCACCTGAGCAGTCTGAGCAGCCATCCAGCCAGCAAGAGGACAAAAGAGCTTGCATGTAACGTTCCGCCCATCTAGAATCCTTGCCTGCGGCATGGTGTTCAAGAAGTCGCTAGCATTGGCCGCCTTTGCGGCTGCCTCGACCTCCTCCATAGTCGCATCCTGGAGTAGCAGGAGGCATCGTGACATGTAGCGAGCAAACAGCACAGACACTGTGCAGCGAAAAGTCGAGAAGAGTCCCTGCTTCAGTCCTGATGGCCGTAACGGATGTTGTCTAAGATGCTGCGTGAAAAGAGAATCGGCTCTTGCTGCACAATGCTCCTTACACGGGCGGGCGAGCGAGTGAGAGAGGGAGAGAGAGAGGAGAGCGAGAGAGGGAGCCTGGCCTATCAGCCTTGCAACTGACACCTACTTTGGAAATTCTCCCAGGTTCATCTGCGCTCGAAGCCAACACAGGTTGAGGTTGCGCAGGTCGTGTCCGTCCAGGAGGACGGAGCCACCTCGGCCCGAAATGGGCATGCCGCATTTGTGCTTTAAAGGTTATTGTGCGAAGGCCCCGGCTGAGTGGATCATAAAAGCGCTGCAGCAAACCCACCTGTGCAGAGGAACTCACAACAGTGTCGGCGATAGGTGTCAGCAATGGAAGTACATGGGAACGGGTCAACAGCCAAGCGGCCGCTGTGCTCTTGCCACAGCCGCTGGGCCCAACAAGGGCTGTTGTTGTACATGGCTCGATTGTAAAGCTCAGCCCATTGAAGACCATAAGGTTAGGGCGCGTGGCGTATCGGAAGTGCACCTAGCACACTGACAAGCGTCTCAAACAAACCGCATACACATGCTGGAAAATTTGCTCTGTCTCTCTGTCTCTCTGTCTCTCTGTCTCTCCGTCTCTCCGTCTCTCCGTCTCTCTGTCTCTCCGTCTCTCTGTCTCTCACACTCGAGCGCGAGCCTCGCGAAACTCCACCTTGCCACTGACTTTGTCCAGCTTCAAGCCCTCGTTTGAGAATGGATCGATCTTGGACCTCCTAGCAATGATGTTGAAGATCCGGCGAGCCGACTCTTGAGGCAAGCTGGTGTCGGAGACCAGGCGTGCAAGCTCACCGAAGGCACTGACAGTGGTGATCAAAACCATAATAACAACCGTGGCGATATCCACCTGCATCATGCCACGCGAGATGAAGACGTTAATGCCGAAAACGGCCAGGGCCAGGACCATGAAAACACCCGCCGACGCAACTCCGGTCCCCAGAGCGGACACCTTTCGTATGCGTTGCTCGTCTTCCATGTGGCTCTCCAGTTTGGTCTGGTACTTTTCCATAAGTCGACCCTGCAAGCCGAACGCTGAAACCGTCTTCACAGAGTTCACTGCCTCGGACACTACTCCGCTGGAGTAGTCGCCGTCGATCTTGCGCATGTTCAGTCCAACACCGATTGCACTGATTCCCAACAATGGTATGACAATGAGGATGCACAAGCAAAAGCGCCAGCTGAAATACATCGCAACGCTCACACCGATGATCGTTGTGAAAGCGAAGTTCGCAGCAGCAGCGATGTTGGCCTCGCGACGCCCAAAAGAATGCTTCAAGCCCAGACTCAGTGTCGCGTTGCTATCCTGATAAGGTTTTGTGCACCTGCAAAATCCCGCCAAGCTGCACCCACCAGCATCTTTAGGCTTGGCACATCTGCACCGAGCTTCCAAAGTAGGTGGGCTGTGCCCTCCTTGTCGTGCCACGAAATTTCCTTCCAGAAAGCTGCTCGCCCTAACTACATCATATTGCCTCCCTCAGCCCTGACAGCCAAGCTGTGCAGGACCAGCTCTATTTCAGGCAGGCTGTGCAGCACCAAGAGGTGAAGTGTGGGTGGCGGGTTACGAGTGCATCTGGTGCAAGACCCATGCACACCAGGGCTGTGTGACCAAAACATAACTGCCTAAAATGAAGTGCGAAAAAATGATTGAGGCCAGAAACCTGAACACACATCACGATGTAGTATCATGAGTTCTCGCTCGGTAAATCGCTTGATGAGTCGCTGATGTGAGTCGCACGCCTGACACCTGCATAAGCCATTCAACTGACCAGTCAAACCCCTGAGATTTGAACGAATTTTCATCGGCCCCATCCCACCGCAAGAGGATTTTCCAGTGCGAGAGCCGATTTTCCTCAAATCGCCCAAAAACCCCCTTAGGATTCAAGAACATCCTTTGCGTGACAAGTTAGGGGCTGTCCGGTTTGTAGGGCTTCAGGCTGCATAGCTCAGTTTCCAAGCAAAACTGTAAAGCGACAACATCCTCCAAGCGAAGTGCGAAATCTTACTGCAGAATACTGCAGAGCTGTCAAACTACAAAATCTCTGCGGAATCCGGTGCACTGCAACAGGAATTAAATGAGTCGCCTTGGCGCTGGCCCTGGGCTCGCCCCGTTTCGTGCATTGGAGGTTGTCATTGGGGCAGACCCCTACCAAAACTTTTAAGCAAACTTTCAGAACCTTCCCGACAGATTGGGTTGTTTGGGAACCCGACACCTGCATCATTCTAGAAGGCCACAGGCGAATGCAAAACCTGGGGCTTCGAGGCTGCTGACGCACGCTTTTTGAAAAAACAACGGAACAGTTGGACAGGCGACGGTGCGTGCTCGGATTGCACAAAGTTTCACATGCAGAAAGACTGCGCATCGAGTTGGCATCGCCAAAGAGTGTACATATGCAAGGAGATCTAAGGAGATCTAGGTTGATCTCCTTGCCACGCTTGACAGCTCGGCATGGAGTACGTCAGGGATGTAGTCCCGGGCACACGACCCCCCCGAGCCCAGAGCTCCACCAACTCCTCTTCCCAGCAAGGGCCGAGGCGATCGAGGCGGCGTTCACAATCAATTCAGTGGGTCTTGGAGAAGAAGGCAACAGGAAGGGAGCAGAAGAGGAAAAGTACAGCGGAGAAGAAAAGCAGAGAAGAGGAAAAAAGGAGAAGAGGAGAATAGGAGAACCATGACGGCAGTCACAAGGTTCGTCACAACACAACACGCGCGAACGCTGTCGGAAGCTTTGTGAACGCTAAATGCACAGATCTTGTCGCCTCCCTACCCCCAGCCCCGAACTCCCAAAACGAGAACCCCTTTGATGTGTTGGACACGGAAATTCGTCCTTGGCCTGCTAACGACAAGCATGATTAGAATCATGTTGAACCCCGTGGGAGAGATCCGTATGCCAATACGCCAGACCTGCCGGAGGAGAGACTCGAACATGCGCGCCCGCACCCGTAGCGTCAGCAGCTCGCCAGCTTTGCCGAAAGCCCATGAGGCACCGATTGACTGCCTTGGAAGAGCCGTCCAGGGTCCAAACAGAAGCCTCTGCGGCTGCTAGAAACCGGACACGATTGTCAAGGGTGGCTCTGTTGATCCGACCCGGCTTACATCCCGCGACTAAGAGTTTCAGAGTCCAAGAGGCAAGAGCCAGAAGACGCCAAGCGCCTGCATGAGCATGCATAAGTTGGTGACACTGGCAGCGATGAAGGGCTCGTTGTAAGCAGCGTACCTGAAAGAGCATAGCACAAGCTGACCAGTCTGGACGGGTCAAGCAAAGTTTCTGAGCCAAGATCTTG